ACCAGAAAAGGTTGATCATCTAGCATATAAGAATTTGTGTGTATTGCAAGGTTCTGGAATCATCAAAATGATAAGAAATTTGGCCAAGTTACAAACACTGTACACAGAAAGATGTATATGGGACTACACGAACATGTGGCGTAAAAAGCCGGCTCCCCAATTTTTACGATGTTACATGCATATTTAGAATATGAAGGCATTTGAAGAGCCATGCTTTTCAGGGAACATGTCTTATCTGATGTTTTTCCACACTTGCATAATAAGAATGAGTAATGCTCACAAATTATTTTTCACCTCTTCCCAGAACTCAACCTTCTCTTTAAGCAAATGATATGCCTTAGTTTGTACACCTTTGTACTTTTCTTGTTGTACTAAAAAAAATGAAAGGGGAATCAACCTCTTGACTATGAAGCATTATCATGAAATAGAGAGCAAAAGAATGCTTCATTTGACATAAAAAGCTTTGATGTAGACCAAATAATATCGTCTGGCAAGTACAATAAAAAAAACAGTACTTCGCTATATTTACAACCTCATTTTTAAATGTTTGAAATTAACATGTACATGTAGTTAGAAGTTTAATTCCATTTTAATTTATTTTCTATTCTGGCTTTGCACACAAAAACAATAGCTGATAGTGATACACACACTCTCTCTCTCTCTCTCTCTCTCTCTCTCTTTCTCTTTTTCTCTCTCTCTCTCTCTCTCAAAACATACACACACAAACAATTTTTTAGGCTAATTCCCCCTTCTTATTCTCTGCTTGAATTGACTTTTTTCATACATTAATGCTATGGTCACATTACCCAAAAGTAGCCTGCTCGGCGGCCGAGCGGCGAGTTTTTAACCAATTCTGCCCGGCCACCGAGCGGCGGCCGCCCAGGCACCACTCGTTTTTAGGGCATCGCTCGGTCGCCGCTGAAGTTTTAGCGCGGAGTTAAAATTTGGGCGGCGCCTGCTCACTTTTCACTCGCCGCCCAAAATACGCTCGGTGCCTGGGCGGTCGCCGTGCGGGCACCGACCTACATGTAATTGCTGGGCGATGCCTAAATTCCAGCAGCGACCGAGCAGGCTACTGATCGGTCGGTCGCTGCTCTGATTTGTGACCATAGCTTTAGCTAGAAAGACGAGCTGCAACAGAAAACAGGTGACAAATACTCCTACAAAACACAAATAACTCGCACTGTCGCACATGCTGAATCTACCAACTTGGAAGTTGGGTGAATTACTACTTTTCTCATGATTTGATCAAGGACAGAATCTCGGGTAAAGGTAAAGGTAATGTTGAATGAATTTTGTTCAATCAACATTCAATGTCAAATGAATCATCACATCTCCAGACTTCCAGGCTTAACTGCAGAATACCCCGCACATTTGAGCCACCAATCAGAGAGTCTAACTAGATACAATGTAGCTAAACCTGCGCGTGTGCAAATGGTAACCGTAAGGGTCACTAATAGGGTTATAATAATCATGCAAACCCACCTTTAATCTACCTATCATCAGCTCAATCAGTAAGGACAGCATTATAAAATGTTGGAGTTGTTATGGGTTTGAATCTCAGTATTTATTCAGTTGTTTTGGGCCTTTATCAATAGTAATGCAAAGCAATAAATAATCAAAGTCTAATTTTCTGTGACCTCTTTCCAAGCTGTTAATGATGTACTACATATCAACCAAGCTAGCTAGCGTCCAGAACTCTCGGCGTGCGGGGTATTCTGCAGTTGTTCCATTTTTCATTTCATTTATTTTCCATTAAAATTCAAAATAAAACACATAACAAATTAACAGCAAAATCGGAAGGACCCCAAGAAAAGCAAAGCTTGTGAGAATGGGGCCCTGTACAAAAGTAATCATACAAGCAAATCATTATAACAAATATTGTAAAACATCAAAACAAACATACACCCACCCTCATTCATTCACATGCACACAGACACACCAACACACACCGCAGGCAGAACATTGTACAGAAAAATCTACTCAGTGCACTTCATTTGTTTAAACAAGAACTGTTTACATAAATATTTAAACTTTGATAGGGTTGAACTACTTTTTAAATCATAAGGTAAAGAATTCCAATCATGTATACCCTGGAATTTTAAAGTATGTTGGGTCAAGGAAGTACATACAAAGGGGTAATGATAGTTTGATTTATTTCTGGTTTCGTAAGAATGGTAAAAAGAATTTGTTTTAAACATGTTATTAAATATTGATGGGAGCTCTTGTTTATGAAATTTGAACATGAAGACTAAATTGTTTTATTTTATGAGGTCAAAGACTGGCAAACATTTCAAATCATAAAACAAAGGAGCACTTGAAGTCATATAGTTAGAATTAGAAATTATACGAACAGCACGTTTCAGAAGAATATGAATTTTATATAAATGAGTCTTGTAAGTATTACCCCAAATAATATTACAGTAGTTGATATGTGGTAAAACAATACTGTTGTAAACAGTTAATAATATATGTTTCGGCAACATCTTTTTAAAGAATGACATGATACCAACCCCCCTTGAAATTTTTAAACAAATATGGGTAATATGGTGGCACCAGTCAAGTGAGTCATGAAGTTTGATACCTAAAAATTCACCAATATCAGTTTTCTTAATTAAGAACATCATCTTTAATACGCACCGGGGCAACATGACTAGGAATCCATTTTTGTTTAGAATGAAAAATTACATAGTGGGTTTTTTCAGCATTAAGAAACAACTTATTACAAATATACCACTCACTTATTTTCCTTAATTCATGATTTATATTACTAATTAGTAAATTAATATCTTTATGAGAAGAAATAACAGCAGTGTCATCAGCATATAATGAAAATTTTTAAATACTTGAGGAATTTAAAATATCTTTAATGGACAACAAAAATAACAGTGGTCCAAGCACAGATCCCTGTGGGACACCCGTATTAATACACAAACAATCAGATTCTGTACCATCGGCCATCACATACTGTTTTCTTTCTAATAAATAACTCCTAAACCATTCTAGAGGAACACCTCTTATACCATAATAATGCAATGTTTTAAGCAGGATGTGATGGTCGATGGTATCAAATGCTTTGGAGAGATCCATAAACACTCCACAACAAAATTTCCCTTCATCAAATGCATGCGCTATATAATTTGTAACATTTAATATGCTTAAAGACGTGGAATGATTTTTCCGGAAACCAAACTGCTCTGAAGCTAAGGAATTATTTTTTAACAAAAATGTATAAAGTCTTTTAAACATAATCTTTTCGAGTAATTTTGAAAAAGTTGACAACAGTGCAATTGGCCTGTAATTTTCTATATTACCTACTGGTCCTTCTTTGTGTAACGGAATAACTTTGGCCACTTTAAGTTTGTTAGGAAATATTCCTGAGACAAGAGATTTATTATAGATATTGCACAATGGATCCACAAAAAAGTGTATACATTTTTTTAACACAGAAGTTAATACATCATCTGGACCGGTTGCTTTAGACATTTTGAGTTCATGACAGAGACTAATTATTTCATGAGAGGAGGTTGGATTCAGAAACAAAGAGGACATGCATGGTGCAGTCGTTAAATGATTTAGATGAATTTGGAATTGACGCTGAAATTTTTTTAGCCATGTTGATTAAAAGAGAGTTAAAAGCCTGCACTTTATCTTTTGAAGAATGGAAAGATGAATTCTCATAAAACATTTTCTGTGGTAATGAACTATGTTTATTTTTTCCAAGTAAATTATTAATTTCTCGCCACGTTTTAACCATGTCACCTTTGACTGAATAGAATAACCTAGAATAATATTCAGCTTTTGAAGCTCTAATTATAGAAGTTAACCTGTTTTTATAATCATTATATATTATTTTTTTCCTTGTATTTAATGTATGAACTGCAACTTTATACATTCTATGTTTACGCTTAATTGATCTCAAAATACCATTAGTTATCCAGGGTTTCTTAAATTGTACTTTATGACTAAATTTGCGTGATGTTGAAGTACATACAGGAAAACATTCATCATATAACGTACGAAACTTGTCAATAAAATAGTCATAACATACATTTACATCATTGTTATCATATACTGTGTGCCAATCAGTTGTACCAAGTTTCTCCTTGAACATAAATATTCCTCTGTCATCGACTAATCTTTTCTTATAATTCTTATTGTAAGTTGGAACAAAATAATTTTCGTTATCTCTACATAAACAATATATTGGGAAATGATCAGAGAGATCGGAATAGATGAGTCCTGAATATTTACTTTTATGAATTGTATTAGGCCTAGTAAATATATTATCTATTAATGATGCTTTATAAGATGTAATACGAGTGGGTTTTGAAATCAAAGGATACATATTAAAAGAAAACATTAAATCTAGAAAATCATTTGTTTTGCAATGTGTGTTATAGTTCAGTAAATCAATATTGAAATCACCCATAATATAAACATCTCTTCGCTCACTTTCCAGTTTTACTAGAATGTCATTCATTTTATCATTCTATAACAAATTCAAATTGTCTAGATCTAGATCTAGATCTATTTCAATTTGAATTTGCACTGAATTATTTTACCTGTTAGCCATTTACAGAACTGAATAATTCTTTGCAAAATACGAGAAATCATAAATTGAATATCATCATCCCTTGAAATATCAAACTGATTGTTCGCTAAATTTGGACAGCCCCGGCCCAGCCAGGCCATGGCCGATCATCATCGGTTCCCAATCATCAGGCTGGCGCGGCGCAGGCCGATGCATTCGGGGTGGAGCTGAGGAGCCGACTAGTACTACCAACTACCGTGTAAGACGGTACCATGTACCCAGCACTTGCACTTGTGCAGTGCATCAGCATCAAAGTGACACTACCTGCCGAATCAATCTTCGACTGGATTGTCCCTTTTAATAATGTTTTGTCAGTTTTTGTTCATCATTCTCAGAAAAAAACATCCAATACATACATCAATATGTAACAAACGTCTCAAAATGTTATGAAAATGTCTAAAATTACCTTTGTTCGGTGACGGCGGCAACGCTCTCGATCGTGATGCAAATACCAAAGGAGACGAGATTGATCAATGCATAACAACTGTTCTGTAGTATAGTCTGCATTCAGGCTTTAATACAATCTTTCTAAAATACATGTAGTGAATTGCATGGACATTTCAGCCAAAGCCTTGATATTAATTGTCTGGGATAGCTTCATATGTAAAATTAAGACAAAATTTACAAATTATTGAGCTGTATTATAATAATTATCGATGAATCATTTCAATCAATACAAAAATCAGAGTGCATTATATGTGTTAGAGGCTTATAAATGCAGACTAACACCAATGCAAATTGAAACAAAAACAATGTTTGAGAATGAGTCAAGAAAATTAAATATTGTGACTGCTCTAAATCAATCGCAAGTTTGCAGTTTCCTAGCTCGTATGTACACAGTTGCGATTAATCGCAACTGTTTATAAGACCGTCCTAGCTATACACAAATACACTTTGGGCGACCTTCCACGCAAGCCGCCGTAAGTGGCGCTACAGTTGGGGGGCAGCTGGGGGGCTTCTGGATAGCACCTGAATGGGAAAGTTGAATGAGCGAGAGCTCGTTCGTACTTAGGCCCGCATCTACTGGCGGTGTGGTGAGAGTGCCTCCGTACCGTAAGATCGAACTCACAACTCTGCTCCAGCTAGCTAAAATTCCTTGAATTATTTATATTCTAACTCTAAATCATTCCGTCTCTCACTCTCTTCAATTCAATAAAATCATCTGCATGTTAACATACACGATAATGAATATGTGGGACACCGTTACAACGGCGTCTCCCAAACTTCGATTGCCGAAAACGCACGCAAAACTCGCCAATGACGGACATCATCTACCCATTCATCCATCGTAAATGAAATAAATTTAGACAAAATGAAGTTGAAATGTCCGAAAGCAGCAAGGAATAATAAGTGGTTTGTCTGTGAGAAAGCAATGATCGTTGCATGCAAGATGAAAGCGCAAGCTGATAGAAGCCCCCCAGCGTGTAATGATAAACGTAGAGGGCTCACATCCATGAAAATTCGCCCGTATCGGTGTATAGCTGATTGATTCACACTTGTAATGGGATCTTCTGTGTATGGTTGGAAAACTTCTTCTTCAAACTCTAGTTGTTATTTATCAATTAGTGAATGTCCAGGATGAACAAGCACCACACATTTGATTTCCCCTCCAAAAAAATGGTTGGCTTAATTGAGACAGATTACGCAATGGATGCCCCCCCCCCCGTTCCCCCCGTTCTTTCTCTCTCTCTCTCTCTCTCTCCCCCTCCCTCCCACTCTCTCTCTTTCTTCCTCTCAGACATAATGTTATTGTTTTTTCTTTCTCTCAGTCTCCGACTGAGTCTTTTTCAACAGGCTGCCTCTCAATCTCGTTATCCCCTATACCTCCTCTCATTCGTATTCCCCTAAGTTTGCCAGTTTCTCTCTTCTGTCTTTCTATCTATCTCTCTATCTATAAACCACTTTCTCCGAAAGGTAATCTTCTCTTTTAATATCTTTCTCTTTTTCTCTCTTTCTCGGCCTTATATTTATTTATTTATTTATGCATATTCACAATTTCACAATTCATTGGAGTTTACATCACATGAAAAAGAATATAATATAACGAATCATTTTCAATTTTACAATCCATTTGAATTAACATCACGCCTTTCAAAAAAAATACAAGTTGCAACTAGCAGCCTTTTCACACACAGCTAAAATTCTATAAACATGACTAGTATAAACGTGTTTCGAACGTGTTTAAACTAATCACGAGCCCTTTCACACACAGAAATTTCGGTGCGATCGTTAATAGTTTCGTGATTAACTACTGCTCGTAAAATGCGCAGTAGTGCCATTGCGCATTGAAGGTCATGTCATATCAATCAAAGCGCACGCTCCATCCAGTTTAAACACGTTTAAACACGAATTTCCTTTCACACACAAAATGTCAAGCTCTCTAGATACGAACTTCGTATCTGCAGCCTGCTTTTATAGGGGCGTATGGATCGCGACTTCGTATCTATCCCAACATCGTATAAACGATGTTCACACTGGGAAATTTTGTCTCACATGTTTAAAACTGTTGAGTGATTCTAATCATCTCTAGATACGATGAATTTTAGCTGTGTGTGAAAAGGCTGTGTATGATACACACAAAGGTGATGAAATATAAGCAAATAGAGCATGAATCGTTACAACACCTTTCAAAATGATGACAAATAAAATTCCTAAAGGGTTGTGAACTATTTACACTATTTACAAAGAACAAGAACAAACAAGAAAAAAAAAGAAGAATATTATATGCATGTATATATCTTTTTCTGTTTATCTCTCTCTCTCTCTCTCTCTCTCTCTCTCTGTCTCTCCCTTTCTGCTATCTCTCTCTCTCTCTCTCTCTCGTTCTCTCTCTCTCTTCCATCCCTGTCTCTCTCTCTGTCTCTGCCTCTCTCTGCATCTCTCTTCCTGATTTCACAGTAAGTTCTCCCAAGCATTGTCTTCCAAAAACTGTGAGTCAAATTATATTCAACAGTCCTGGCTACATATTTTATATACAAATGTTTACGTCTACGAAGTGAATGATCATGATTATGAGTGCCTTATACGGTTCCTCCTCCGATCAAAACAGCATAACCATTTCCATCATCTTCTTCTTCCAGTTTCTACCAAAAAATGCTATCTTGAACACTTTCCGTCTTCACATCTTCATCCTTTTCGTTCATCCATTTTCGTCCATTTTCAGAGTCTTGTGTCTCCTCCAACACATCTTTCATTTCATTTGTGTTCTCTTCCTCTTCCATTTGCTCCACGATTGATGAAAGTCTGTTATTTCCACCCTCCTTCATTTCCAGAATCTCTTCTGCCCGAGTCCACGTCTTTAACTTCTCAACTTCCACCATCAGCATCTGCGCCTCCTCCATCTTCATCTTCTCCATCCACATCTCCTCCCACAAGAGGTCAGCAAATTCCCTTAACTCCTCCGTCATTTCTGAATCCTTCTCCACCTTCTCCTTGCTCTCTAAAGAAATTGCAAGATCCTTCTCCTCTTCCTCTTCCTTGTTCTTCTCCGGCTCCATCTCCTCCACCCCCTCTTCTCCCTTTCCTTCTTCACCCACCTTCTCCTTGCCCTCTAAAGAAATTGCAAGATCTTTCTCCTCTTCCTCTTCCTTGTTCTTCTCTGGCTCCATCTCCTTCACCCCCTCTTCTCCCTTTCCTTCTTCACCCACCTTCTCCTTGCCCTCTAAAGAAATTGCAAGATCTTTCTCCTCTTCCTCTTCCTTGTTCTTCTCTGGCTCCATCTCCTTCACCCCCTCTTCTCCCTTTCCTTCTTCACCCACCTTCTCCTTGCCCTCTAAAGAAATTGCCAGATCCTCCTCTTCCTCTTCCTTGTTCTTCTCCGGCTCCATCTCCTCCACCCCCTCTTCTCCCTTTCCTTCTTCACCCACCTCCTCTACCTCCTTCAAGTCCTTCTCTTCCACAAACTTCTTTCTCTCCTCCTCCTTCGCCTCCTCATGATTTGCGTTCTCATCCGTTGTGTCCTTAACCTTGTCCTCATCCCTTACCAATTCCTTCATCCCCTCTTCCGTTTCTATATCCTTCGCATATCGAGTGATATCTAGAATAAATTTTAAAAAATATATTTAGAAGAGAATGATGCAACCAATTTCGTAGAATAACAATATCCGCATTCATTAATAATGATGAGAATGATCAGAGTCAAAAAAGATAATAAAAAAGAGATAACTTTGTAACTATTATGCAGATCATGATGCGTGCGCACCAAGCGTACCGCATCTTTATTTCGTCACAATATACCATAGAGATAGCTCAATGCAATAAACGCATTTTTATTTCGTCACAATGAACACATTTTGTCTTGATATAACTAAGTAGAATAGACTGATCGGTACGGAAGCCCATTAGTGCCACCATACGAAATAAATTTAAGAGGAATTATCTGGCGGCCGCCAGTTAATTATCTGGCGGCCGCTCAAAATCAAAAATTCAAAATCAAAAATTGCTTTTACGAAGAGCCGGGATGGAAGGGTGTCATCGGTTGAGGGAGGGAGGGGGGGGGGGGTTCGAGATCAGAAATAATAACAATTGAGAGGGCTTTGTGAGGGTACCTACAAGGATGTATGAATTTCGCTACAAAAAATAAAAATAAACGTTAGGATCCCAATTTCAACCATAATACTTGCTCCCTATCAGCTATATTATAAACTGTGTTACCTCCTATTGGTCCGATGATATAGTCCTTCTGTGGGGAATCACATAATTCAATCTTTTTATTCTATTTTTAATTCAAAAGTTGTGTGGCGACCAAGTAGATTGCATTTCATTTAAAAAATAAGATTACTTGGCAAAATTGAAAATTCTTAATAATAATGTAAGTGATGTTTTATGCTAATTAAATCATATCAGGCCTTTTATTAATTTTGTTCGTGGGGGGGGGGGGGGGGGGGGGCGAGGGAGCTGATATGGTCAGATCTGCTATTAGCCTAGGGGTGATGTATACCAAAGTTGTCCCTCCCGGGGGCAGGGGGGGGGGCATAGCGCGCCACCACTTTTTCAAGTATCCCAAAATTGATTGCCCTTTTCAAATCTGAGAGGTGCCCCTTTAACTTTGACACACCCCTTTTTAACTCGGATAAGTGCACCTTATGTTTTTACAATGTGTTCCTATGCACCCCTGGTAAATGACCCTTTTCATCACGAGAAGTTACTCCTTTTCACTTCGAGAAAATGCACTTCTTTTGAACGTTTTGATCTTCTAAACTATAGATTCGTGCGATTGGTTAATCTCCCAACAGATAAATACCATACACAGTTCTCTTCAAGCAGTATGTTTAATTTGTCAATCACCTTGTAAAATTTAGGCCCTGTTTTTCTTCTCAAATATTTTAGTGATTGCGGACGGGCGAAGCAGGTGCTGAATAGAACATTTGGGCTTCAAACACACAACCATGCACGAGTGACACCAGGAAGCGGAAACACTATTAATGATTTAATACTGAAACACAGTTGTCAAAATAATTATGTTTAATTCTTCATCATTTTTAAACAATTATTTACTACAACATGTATTAGTATTTTGTGTTGTTTTAGATAGCTTTGTAAAGCGCAAAAATCCTTAGAAATAAACTACTAAGGAAAGGTATAATGCAATGATGCAATTTTACCCATGTTGTAGTAGTATAGTAGTATATATCCCGTCTCTTCTGTCTTGCACACCCCTTCCGCTGCTATCGCAAGTTAAAAAAAGGTCCCAATGTCCGCATAGTAACTAAGCGAGGTATGTGTCCATTAACAACATGATGTTAAACATTAGCACTTAAAAACATCTCAATCTAACGGAGGACGATGTGAAGAAAAATGTAATGGTGCAGATAAATACAGAAGTAAATCAGCAGCATTCTAAGTCATGAAGCAATCATGCATTTATAATTTAACTAAGGCTTGGCCAGGGCAAATAAAGTTGACTACAACCTGTCAGCCTGTTTGGAACCTGTTTGGAATGAACGATTTTTGGGGGAGGGGTCGTCCTTTATCAATTTCTGTTAACACTTGGGGATGGGTCTGTGAGTATGATTTATATTTTGTTTTGTTTTGTGAATATATATAGCTGGAATTTATGCAATACGAAAGCCTTTACAGTGATCATTTTGTCATTATGCATTAAACATTGGGGAATAACATCCTCCCACCCCCGGAATGACAGTTTCATGCATGCCGACTTTATATTTTATTGGTACAAGTACTCCTAAATGATTTGATTTGATTTGATTTATTTATTTCTGTTAGATTATCTTTTTCTATTGCATTTTTACAAATATATAACAAACAAACCATTGCAAATGTTACACATTTCAAAAGAATATAATGTCGAATAAAGTAAGGCTGGCTGCCCTAACTAATCGAAAACATCAAACAGGAGGGTTGACATTTAAGTAAACAAAGCTTGTCTGAGCATGACTACCCTCAATGGATACATAATAATACGACTATGGAGGAACATATATTGGGAAAAGGGGAAAAGAGAGCGAGAGAGAGAGAGAGAGAGAGAGAGAGGGAAAAAAGGAAAGAGGGGTGTACATCAAGATTCACAGATGTATGTGGTGCAATATGTAGTGGGATTTCAATTCGATATAATCTCATTCTCATTATTTATGCCCTATAAACTATTTCCTAATCATGTATTTCGTGGAAGTGTCTTGATTTTGGAAGTCAAGTCTAAAGTTGCACTTCATTGACCTCATGTGTTCCCTCAAAGTATCAGTCCATGTTTGGGGCAATATGTCTCCTATGCCCCTATGGCTCCCCCTTCGGTTACCTGTATGTACCGATTGGAAATCCCCAACTAATTTTCATTCTGTAAACAAACTATATTCAAGTATCAATGACGTCATAGCGATGGTGCAAGCTGGCCGAGAAGGAAGGAATACGAAATTGACAATGTCGATGTTTTAACGTTTTGAGATACATTCTGATTACAATTACAATCGGAATTCATTCGTTTCTAAATAAATATTATCTTAGGTAATGTATTATATGATTTTACTACAGTTTAAAAAACGTTTTCAGTGTGTTTTTGACGTGAAATGAGCGTGTAGTTGGTCCGTGCAAAAGACCATTAGTGAGCACCTAGTCCCATGTATGGAAAATTGTGTTCCTTATTTAGTACTGTCGTTTGTGTTTTAGAAATAGTTTTTCTTGTGAAAATATATGTCTTCATGAAACTAGATCAGTATTAAAAGGTAAAAAATAACTTTGCTATTTAGTGGTGAAGGAAACCACTCGTTCGTTTACATGCATGCACTTATGACTGAAGAGGGACCATTTATTTTTAGCATTTCGGTAGCCGATTACTTTGGTCAAGTTGCCTTGGAGATTTTAGCGCTTCCCAGCTTTGATGATAGATTTCCGACTAAATATTTTCAAAGAATTGTTTTTTCTCTATCTTTAGTGAGTTGAATTTGATTGTAGTTTACTGCTATTTAGATGTCATTATAATGGTAGTCACTAGTGCTAATTTTGAGTGAATTTTGGTGAGATTTGTACAGTGGTGTTTTGAGAGTTTTCGGAAACGATAAAGAGTGTCCTAATGTGACGCTTTCCAGGAACTGAGGCACTTAAGTAAAATTAACTTTTTCAAAGATGCAAATGATGATAATGAGAATGGCTCGAATTTGCTTCTTGTATAGCACCGTTGTCCTCTCCTGGGCGCACATGGGGCTTGCTTGAGAATGTCTCACAAATTCTACATTCTTTATAGGTTGTCAAATTGAGATACAGGTAGTTTATTTTTAACTTTCTATGTTAGCATTATTATTCTTGGGATGATGTTGTAGAAATGAATAGGTAAGTCTTTACAAAAAAATTGATACCCAAGTCTTACAATCATTTACTTTCTTGCCAACCAGTCCATGTTTGTTGCCTTAGGACCTTGAAAAACTGCTCATTGGCTATTCCATGCCATGTCTGTGTCCCGTACATTTCATATACATCTAGGTCTACGTCATAAAAAAGGGAAGAATCTTTGGCGCTAGTGTAGTTTCATATCCATTTTTTTAAGCAGTTTTTTTACCAGTTTAATATCGATTCTTAGCAAAGGAATTTTAGCCCAATTTTTTACTAATTTTAATCATAATCATATATTGCATTTACCACCTGAATTTGGATCACATCCGACATCGGGAAGCCTCCGTTTAGGGCTTCGATGTCGACGTCGTCGCTCAGTACCGTCTCCCCGCTATAGCTTTGCAACTCAAACTGAAGCTATCAGTCTAAAATCATGCTAACTTCGCGTATGCTTTATGGTATTACGCACATGCACGATACCATAAATTATACGAGAAGCTTGCATAATTTTAGACTGATAGCTTCAGTTTGAGTTGCAAAGCTATAGCGCGGAGACGGTACTGAGCGACGACGTCGACATCGAAGCCCTAAACGGAGGCTTCCCGATGTCGGATGTGATCCAAATTCAGGTGGTAAATGCAATATATGATTATGATTAAAATTAGGAAAAAATTGGGCTAAAATTCCTTTGCTAAGAATGGATATGAAACTGCTAAAAAAAATGGATACGAAACTACAGTAGCGCCGAATCTTTTGGGTACCGGTATATAATGATACTTTCTCATATTACTACCATTAGTGTTTATTGATAGTCATATCAAGAGAGTTCTCACTCATAGATGATGTATGTGAACAAATGTCATAAATCATATGGACACATTGCACAGAATATTTTAATTTTCTTTTTATTCGGTTAAAACGTCTCATACATGATACAAATTAAAATGAAACACATGTATTTAAAATATATCTTCATAATACAAAATGATGATAAGTAGAAACCAAGATTATGGATAAAAAAACCCAAAGAAATAAGACATTGCACTGAATTGCCATAATGTGAATCCTTGGCTAAGGGAATGCATTTCTGAGACTTTCTCTGTTTGTTTTTTTGCCACAGGGGTTTATAGTTTAAAGCCACAGAGGATGGCCCGTTCTGCAGCTCAGAACCAGGAGCGCCAAGGCCAGCGCTCTGCTCAACAAGGGGGTCAATCCAAGCCCAGCAAGGGACAGCGTCAGGATGCAGCAGAACGGAAGAGGGACGAGCGAGCCATCAGGAATGCTTACAGGAAGACGAAAAAGGACGAATCGTACCTTGCAGACGATCAGAACTTTGCAAGCTTTGCCACCCAGCTGCAGAGTATGGGTCTTCAATTGAGAGATATTCCTGGCGATGGGTGAGTTTCAATGTCCATCAAAGTCTGGGTGAATCGTGTCCTTTCACATCTTCAAAATAAACAATAGTCCTCCAATATTTTGGTTAATAGTACACTTTCTTATCTTTAAGATGCACTTAGGCAAGTCCAAGAAATTTCCCCAATATGTTTCTAACATCATAAATTCCTGTATACTTGATGATTCTATCAAGTTTACAGCCCTGCAAGATCTTGAAGATCAACTAACAAGAAAAGTGACACCTGTGATGTTGATTTTTGTCTCGCCTGCGTAGCAAAAAGCGAGACATAGGCGCCGCTTTTCCGGCGACGGCGTCAACATCAAAAACTTAACCTAAGGTTAAGTTTTTGAATTTTTGGTATAATTTTTAAAGTATAAGTTCTTAGTCAATTAAACTTTGACTATAGGGTAATCAAGTATCCCCAATCATGTGAGTAGAATTTCAGATCACAAAGTCAAGGTCAAAGGTCATTTCAGGTCAACAGACTTGGACTATGTTGTAGCATCATCATCGAAAACTTAACCCAAGGTTAAGTTTTTGAATTTTTGATATAATTTTGAAAGTATAAGTTCTTAGTCAATGAAACTTGGACTATAGGGTTATCAAGTCTCCCCAATCATGTTAGTAGAATTTCAGGTCACTAAGTTAAGGTCAAAGGCCATTTAAGGTCAACAAACTTAGACTTTGTTGTGGCATCAACATTAAGATTTTCAAAATGCTTCTTCTTTGTTATTTTTCAACCGATTTTGATTCTGATTGTTTCATATGATAGGGCTAGGAGGGAATTTAAAATTTCTTCACAGAATCTTGAAATTCATTATCTATGCTAATTTATGCAAATTTATTCGAAATCACAAAAAAGGCTTCTTCTCCTTCATTTCTCGACCGATTTTGATTTGGTTTGCTTTATATATCGTAGAGCTAACTTTGGTACACTAAACTTCTACACAGAATTTTGAAATTGTTCTCCATTAATTAATTATGGTAATTTATGCAAATTTATTCCAAAAATAACAAAAATTGCTTCTTTTCCCTCATTTCTTGACCGATTTTGCCTTATCTGGTAGAGCTAAATTTGGAACAATAAACTTCTACACAGAATTGTGAGATTTTGCTCCATTGATTATTTATGGTACTTTATGCAAATGAAATGAAATTATATCACTTCCAGGGCATCAAATTTCTATTTTTTGACCAGTTCAAAAGTGTACCACATAAAATTTACGATATTTGTTGTTGTGAGATGCGGATGAGCGCTACGTCATTGACGTTCTGGTTTATCATATTGAATTGCGTTATGCAGGCGAGACCGCCGAGAGCGTTTCCCTTGTTGTTTATTTTTCATGATTCTTGTTAGATGTATTGAATGTGGGAGCTAAAAATGACAAAAATTTCAAGTACTTTCCTATAAAGAATTGATGAGTCATACATAACTGTTTTTGATTGATTATTTGACTAAGCTCTAGGAATGATGTTCTTTAATAGAGTGAGTCGTATAAAAACACTAATTGGCATTGTAAGAAGTGGTCTAATGATTGCTCATGGCTAATGATTGCTAGAGCTCCTGTGAATAATGTGCTGACTGGGCTAGTCTCTTGAATCGTTAGTGAGCTGAGGATTGAAATGGGTGATATAAATATTGCAAAATTGTTTACTTCACTTGCATTAAAGAGAGTAGTTGCTGAGCTAGCGCTACGAGCGTTCCTGGATGGTGTGTGTGCTCTATAAGTTTACACTATTATTGTTATTATTATCCTTTTCAGAAACTGTTTGTTCCGAGCTCTTGGGGACCAGTTGGAAGGCCACGGTCGCAACCACATGGCTCACCGGTTGGACGTTGTACAGTATATGAGAGATCACAAAGACAACTTTGAACCCTTTATGGAAGACGACGTACCATTTGAGAGACATTGTGAGTACTTACAAACATGTACATGTACTGTATATAAGATTTCAGACTCAAGATTCAAGTTTTATTGTCCATATATATTACATTCTTTGTACCCAGTTACCCACATCCAATGTCAAACCTGGCCAGGCATGGTACATATGCAAGGAACTGAGGTGCAATAACCTTGTATTGGCACTGTTATCTCCTGGAAATCTGGGTTTGCACAATATTCTATTTTCGGCTACCGGTATTAGTTTATTGAAACATGTGTTCTTAAAGGTATAAACCAGTTTTGGAAACGCCCCTCCTCTCAAAAAATGAAATGGAAGCTCTTATTGCCAATCATGTGAAAGAACATGTTTTGACTAATACGTGATGATACAATTTTGCAGTGAAACCGCGCTGGGAAACCGCCTACTTATTGATATATTTGGTAAATTATTATATCTCTCCGGACTGGATAGATATCGCGTAGTCCCATAAAATCTTTCTGTGTACAGTGCTTGTAACTTTACCAAAACTGGGCCAAATTTCTTATCATTTTGAGGATTCCAGAACCTTGCAGTACACACCAATACTTATATGCTAGAAGATCAACGTTTCCTGATCGATTCCACAACGTTTCTTTCACAATGCAATCGCATGACCAGAACTTGTCTGTACCTTTAAGAGTAATGACTCGGCCTGATACATGTACTGTAGCTTATGATCAATCTTTCATACTTTGTTCCCTTGTCCAGTGGTCAACCTGGCTAAGCCTGGTACCTATGCAGGAAATGACAGTATCGTGGCCTTTGCTCGCCTCCTGAAGGTCAATGTGGTCATTCATCAATTGAATCTTCCAGTATGGAGGGTAAGTAACCTGTTATAATGATAGTATTCCATTCTTATCGTACATATCACATCATGATATCGAGGGTTCAGTGACACAAAGACATAACTCCATATTTTGCCAAAATGAGTATTTGATATCAAAATGTTCAGAAGAATGTGGGCTTTCCAGGAAACACAAAGACTGAACTCCACCCAACACCCCATTGAAGTCAATGGCTAGTGAAACATAGACTTATTAATTAAACTCCAGTCCAAGTGCTCAGTGACACATGAACTACTTTTTCTCAAAATGGCCAAAATGGAGTTACGTCTTTGTGTCGCTGACCCCTCGATATATAGTTCGACTGTGGACAAAAAACAATTATCACTTTTTTGTTCTTATTTGTACATCTCACTATCATAAATGTATGTAGCTTTATTCTTGAATTAGTTTGCAAAAACTTATCACAAGCTTCAAGTTCATTAAAGGGAAAGTCCACCCCCAAAATAAGTTTGTTTCGATAGAGGCAGAATAATAAGAAAATCAGGTGAGTGAAAGTTTGAGCAAATTCTGAATGAAAATAAGAAAGTTATGAATTATTGAAGTTGTGATCAATCAAATACAAATTGGCAACTCTGTGACTTATTATACGAGCTCTCCTTCATTTGCTTTGTGCATAATATTCCATAAAATCATGTTTTCTTCGTTATTGATGACGGAATATATATTTGTTCCTTGCAGGGGGAGTATAGAAACATATTTGCAATTATTATATTTAGGGTGCATGTATGGTTGAAATTTTTCTTGAGGGAAAATGAAAATTTTTGATTTTTTTTTTAGTACTGAGCAAATGGAAGTTGAGCTCGCATGATACGTCATAGAGTTCAAAAATCCTAACTTCCTTATTTTTAATCGGAATTTGCTCAAACTTTCACTGACTTGTTTCTCTCATTTTTCTACTCCTATTAAAACTAACTTAATTTCAGGGTGGACTTCCCCTTTAAAGACCCTATTCAATGAAAAAACACCTTTATATCAATGTAAAGCTGAATGAACGTAGAATGAAAGTATAAAGGATTACAAATATTTTGATAATGATATATATATATTTTGATATGAGTCAGTACTTGTGAAACCATCATAACCATGAAATATTTTTTCACTATTCTCTCCCCAGATTGTAGGTTCAGATAAACCCTCATGCAAGGAGCTTCATATATCCTACCATAATGGTGACCATTACTCTAGTGTAAGGAAGCTGGGTGATAACTCAGAGAAAGCTACCAACTTCAGGAACGGTGGCGAGGTAAAGTTACATACCAATGATTTTGTCCGGTAGAACCAGCTATCGGAGTGATTTAATGAGGAGCAACGAGGGAACTTCAGACTATTTTCAAAAAACGTAGAGTCAAACTAATGGCTCGTTCACTTAAGGTGCAAGAAATTGCAGCATTATTATTTTTTACCATGTACATTAATGAGAATACGCCCCAGGGAGTGGAGATGGTGCACATTGTAATATATTATTATTGTGTGTGAATGAATCCGATGACCGAGGTACTAATATCTGTTAAGCGCTTAGAGACGGTATTTCGTATTAAGCACTATATTAATCCAAATTAATATTGTATCATTATTTTAAAAGACACAGTGGTTTCACCACCTTTTCTGTGGATGAGCCTTATTACAAAATTTTACAGGTACATGTAACACCAATTATTATTGAGAATTTGATGTTTGTATTGACCCAGTCATGTTATATTTACTAGTAAGTAACCTATTGAATACTCATCCTGATAGCCAGGGATTCTTTGTGTCTCTGTCTCTAGATCGCTTCATCTCCGATGATCCGATATACCTGGCGATAATTTCTCCTTGTTTTATTTCATGGAAAGCATTGGGTTAGGGTTGAGGTTGCAATCAGGCTTAGGTTAAGTTTATATCAGGGTTAGGTAAAGTAATAGGTGAATTTAGTGAATGTAGGAAACTATTGTGGAGCAATCGTTGCCGGAGCGTTGTGCTCTACAAGCCCATTGTGCATTGATGGTTGATTTTTTTTTTTTTACTCGACTTCTAAAAAAGCATGTACATGTACCGGTATATGTTTGTAAGTGAGCAACCAGGGGACCGAAGGCTTTAAGTCCTCTCCAAGGGACTTGGTAATGAGAATTAATGCCTTACCAAAGTTACTATTGTTGCAGGAGCGTTGTGCTCTACAAGCCCATTGTGCATTGACAGTTGATGGTTGATTATTGTTTTAACTGACTTCTATAAAGAAAGCATGTACCGGTACCGGTATATGTTTGTAAGTGAGCAACCAGGGGACCGGCAGCTTTAAGTCCTCTCCAAGGGACTTTGTATTGAGGATTAATGCCTTACCGAAGGGCACAAGCGCATTGACTTGGTTTTGAAACGCTCAGTTATGAGACCACTGCTCTACCACTGAGCCATCACGTAAAGTGTGTCTTTCTCTCTTTTTCTCTCTTTTGGATGACTCCTCCACCATCTGCCTGTCTCTTACAATCTGTCTCTCTTTTCTTTCACAGTCATCTAGTTCAGACATAAAACCCAAGCCTAAGGCCCGGACAAAGTCCAAAGTGAGCGATGAGATCGATCCACCGTACACCAATGGAACAGTAGAAGAAGACGGTCTCATCGATGTAGAATTACATATAATGGTCGAGACAGGCTGTGAGGTAAGTCAGAGAGTGAACTACAAAGTATGTTGGTACTCCTCAGAGTATACTGTGTTTATAAAAAGGGGGGTGTTTCACAAAGACTAAGATCAGTCCTGATAATTACCAGATTTTTTTCCTGATTTTTTTTTCTCCTCGATTTCATCCTGATTTTTCGTTTATTTTCTCCAATTTTTCACCAATTTTCTTACTCAAAAGGGGGCGAATGTTGTTAGGTGCCACTTCCCCCCCCCCCCCCCGAATCCTCTTCTTTTTTTTTACTCAAATGGGGGCGTGGTTGAGGAGGAAACCCCCCCCCCCCCCCTCCTTTTATTTTTAGTGCTCACTATCCCCCCTGTAAGATCGATTTTAAGTTGGACTCAACTATGACATGCTGTTCATGCCACTGTGAGAGACCAATGCCAGTAAATGGTGAAAACAAACAGTGGCATGAACGGCCTGCCATAGTTAAGTCCAACTTAAAGTCGATCTTAGTCTTTGTGAAACACTTATTTGAATCAGCTGGTGAGACTCCAGGGGGCAGTTGTCCTGCAATCATTTAACCCATTGCTAACTGGAACCGGGTGGCCCCTGTATTAAGCCTATGGCAATAAGGGAATTCAGTAATCAATGGGGTAAAGACTGTGTGCAATCATTTCAAGAGAGACAATAAAACATAGAAATTCAGTATGACCTTGTTCATCTTCTGGATAAATTAAAATTATCAAATACTTAACAGGAAAAACGCCTGATAGAGATTTGACAGGAGCTAGAAAATATGGCGGAGAGAAACGAAAGTTGTTGATAGAATGGCCTTCTTAGATGTGATCGCACCACACCACACCTTGCTACCGGTAGTTGCTACACTTCATACAAATTTGACATTGGTATTGTCAGTTTTTCAGGACAAATCCAAGGCATTTTAGTCTTGTATATTACCAAAGATTTTAATATACCCAGAGCATTGGTCCCACCAAATATCGAGGAAAAATCACATACTTTCATGATGGGTAATTATCTTCATTATTCCAGTTGATTTGTAATGTATGAGATAAAAATTATTAGAGCTGCCAATCAATACGATTTTATCGTATTTCGTACAATGTTTAGAAGTAAATACGACAGTACCATTTTTTCCTCAATAAAACATGATTTTCAACAAAAAAATAATAATAATAAAGATTTTCCGAAATATTTGTATGTACTTGTGTATTTTTGTTGGTGGCCATTTTGAATGGCATATTGCCCATCCTCTCTTTTTAAGTATCCTACAAGCATCTCACATCAGCAATTTGGGGATTATCATTGGTTCATTGAACGATCCGAACTCTTGCATATTCAACACAATGTTTGTAAAATGTACTCATGCATAATTCTTCAAAGTGTCGACGAACACAGTCTAACAAAAAGAATGTACTTATCGATCAAAAATAGGATTTTAATTATGAAAATAGAATTTTTTGGGAAAAAGAACAGTGTTTTGGGGGAAAAGAATAGGATTTTTGTTCAGTTGGGGTTGGCAGCTCAGGTTCACACGCTCTTTGTTATTTATCAACTAAGCTCAGAAACTGTTTATGTTTATTGCTTTACAGGATGTGCAATTAATACGAGAGACTTTCATGGACAATGAATGCAACGTGGATGCAACTATAGGAGTGCTACTTCAAGTTACCAATGCTGACTGCGATACATTTTCTCATGGTATGAATGCGCATTTTGTGTTACGATTGTGTATCACATTGCATGATTTTTTTTTATACGGGTAAAAAAGAAACATGTGAATCGTGGAAAACAGCATTTCGTGTGAGATATTGTTGTGAAAATTGCAAAAAGATATAACATGAGTCATGTCTATGAATTATGCTTGGCATGAAACTTTTGTGACACTTAACCTCTTGTGATGTTCGGTCAAAAGTCTCTTGTTTTACGGTTATTGCTCTGCAGTGTATATTGGTATCACAAAGTATCATTGTCCAAGATTGTTTAGTAAGATCCTTCGTCATAAATTGTATTATCTTACATTACATGTCGCTGGAGGAAAGACATGTTTTTTGTTAAAGCATGGGAGAGTGTAGTGTAGAACAAGAAAGAAACAAAGAATAAAGACCAACCGGAACCATATATGTAGAAAGACCACCTATTTGTGTCTCATGAACATTGTCTCTCATTGAAACCTTAGTTTAAAGATAAACTTGAGTTTTGGTAAAAAAAAAAAAATGAATTCTCACAGAATCTAACAAAACTTACACTGAATGTACAAGATTACAAATAAATGTAATTTGCCAAACATTTTTGGTAGAAAATGTATACTGGCTGAGTAATGAGCATAGCAAGATAAGGAATTCACGGCAAGTAGCCCCGACACCATTTGTGTAGTCCCATAAACATCTTTCTGTGTACAGTGCTTGTTACTTTACCAAGACTGGGCAAAATTTATTATGATTTTGATGACTCCAGAACCTTGCAGTACACACCAATACTGACATGCTACATGATCAACGTTTTCTGATCCATTCCACACCTTTTCTTTCACAATGCAATCGCATGACCAGAACTCAACTTTATCTTTAATAAGGACCAGCAAATAAGGGTTGACTGCTTTGTACTTCTGCTTTTCTTGTTTCCTTCAGGTAGTTGTTATCTATAGGTTTGACTTGATGATATTGCTTATCAAGCAATCTGCTTATAATGACAGTCCTTCTTCCGCAAATAATTTTATAATGTTTTATAATGTTTGAGGAAATATAGTATTTATGACAGTTTATCATTTCGTTTTTGAAAATAGCAATTTTTCTATATATATGTATTTGCTTATTTATGATTCATTGTCAGAAAAATACTTATTGTACTTTATATTTTTATTGTTATTGAAAAACTGTATGCTTACATGAATGCAGAAGGAAAATAAAATAACATAAAATCAAATATTCTGCCCACACATCTTAGGGAAGGAAAAAAAAAATCAAACTTTTTCTTATCCTAAAATGTCCACCATTCAGATAATAACTCTATAAAATCAGGAGAGCGATCGCCTCAGGGTGCTGCCGGCATCTGGTCTACAGACGGCTCCGGAACTAGATTATTTGGTGTACCTGAAGACAGTGATAGTAGTAGTAGCAGCAAGACACAGCCAAACAGGACTCCAGGCGGGAAAGCCAAGAATCAGGTAAGATCGCCGGCCAGGAAACCACCTCTGGGCAACCTGGGAGGTGTTTCACAAAGATCTTAAGTTGAACTTATCTCTAAGTTGGACTTAACAATTATGGAAAGCCGTTAGCAGCTTTGAAAATATTTTGTAAAAGTTATTTTAAAAGGCATAGAATGTTGATTCAAGGATGTTCTTGATGTGGAATTTATGAAAAGTCTAAAATACTACTAATTTTTGCTTTTGATTATTTAAGGCTACAAATAGCTCTCCATAATAATTAAGTCCAACTTAGAATTAAGTTCGACTTGAGATCTTTGTGAAACACCTCCCTGCATAACCATTTCAAAAGAGCTCTCATTGTAAAGAGAAATAAATAAGTAGCTTTTCTAAAGATATCAAACGACATGATCCACTAGATGAACATATTTTCCATCCATCTCCAATCTTGATCTTCTTTTTGGCAGGGTTATGCATATATTTATAACCTGGATTTTATGCTAAATTGGGTTGTATAGGCCTGGGCCCCGTCTTACAAATAGTTGCGATTGATCCAATTCAATCGCAAGTCCTCTAATCAATCACAATTTAGCAATATCCTATCTCTTATGTACATAGTTGCGATTGATATAAACTCTTTGTAATACAGGGCCCAGGTCTGTTATATTTTCAGTTTCCATTCTACCAGGTTTCATCATCTCAATACATTTTTTTTCCTTCATATCAATATTGCGCTTCAATGTACTTCAGTGTTCTTTCGTAAATAATGACTTACATGTAAGAGCTCCTTTTACTCCTTGTTATTTGCACAGAGTACCAGGCAGCAGAAAGCCCAGAAGCGGCTCGAGAAGAAACAGAGACAGGCAGAGAGACATCGACAGAGGATACAGGGCGAGAATTGCCATAGCAACACGACAACCAGCAGTGACGAGGAAAGCAGCAGTGTCGTGCTCGTCGGCCAGATGGGAGCGCTCTCAATATGACGACACCAGATGCACTAGTTATGTTACGAAAAATAGACACTTCAGGGATTCAATATAGTATCTGAGTTTTCATTTCATTCTGTCTGTGACGACCGCGCTTTGATGAACATTGCTAGCTTAGAATGATAGTTTGTTATATAATTTTATGAGCGAGTACAAGCAGCTCTTTTGTTTAGATATTCAATGCAAGAGATGAATCAACCGAGGAACTAATTTTGCATTTAGCACACCAGAAGCTAGCTTATGATGATAATTTGTTAGATAATTTTATGAGCGAGTACAAGCAGCTCTTTTGTGTTTGGAGATTCAATGCAACAGATGAATCAACCGAGGAACTAATTTTGCATTTTGCACACCGGAAGCCGCGGGATATCTCCAAAAAGGAGCCGTCAGTTACACAATAGAGGATGTTGCTTCTTGGCAGTGGCTTCAAATATTATTTGATATCATGAGGGAAATAGAAGTTTGAAAACCCTCGAAATGAATGGTTACTTTTCTCTAGCAAGTTTTTTAGGTTCATATCCCTGTATTAAAGAGAATGATAATACAATGTAATAAAATTTTGAATCTCTATCCAATGGGCGATTCAGTGTAATGTTTCCAGTTCGACATATCGTCGGCCGGCTGGCAGAAGGGCGTTAGCGCGCAAGCGACTCAAAAACTACTTTTTTTGAATTATTCGCATTTAAAGATTTGTTTTATACTTAAACTGCTTTCCATCCCGAAAATTGGTTTAAAATTTAAGAGACTAATAGAAATGTTATAGTAGAACATGGCCACAATTTTTTTCTCGGAAATAAGTCTGTTTTATAACAGTTTGAGGCGATAAAGTGCTAACGCCCTTCTGCTTAACGCTTCATTTTTTATCTGAAATTCGAGCTAACGCCCCTCTGCCAGCAAGGCGACGATACGTCCATTGTCCCCATAATTCATCAATAAAGAAAGAATCTCTTGATATTGCAATTGAACATTGCTGCTTTCTGATATCACTACAGTTACACTTTATCAAGAGATTTTTCATTCATGGATGAAATTTCATGTGATGATTTTGAGAGTGATACATATAATAAGGGATAAAGAATATTCTTTAATTTAATTTTTCAACCGTACTCTTACTGAAAAACATCTGAGTAGGACGTCTTGTAAGTTTTGAATTTTTTTTTTTATTTCAACTGTTGTTTGATCCTGTATATCAGTCTTACTACCGGTACTAGAATCACACAAATTGTGGTATCTTATCTACAAAGCATTATCAAATGCCAAGAAAATTAGTCATGTTGTACATGAATTGAAGCAGAAACAGTTGAATTTTTTCTTTTCGTTCCCTTCACGGACAGTCGTATTAAAGCTTTTGTCCAAATAAACATTATACTGTGAGCATTAGTAAGCATTGTGCCCCCAATTACTTTTGTAAAGCAAAGAGTGTTAGAATCCACTAATGATTTAAAGAGAATTCCATTTTAGTTATTTGATTCATTTCAAAGTCTTATATTTATATTTTCCTCCTTTATCTTGCCCTTCTTTTCCTGTGGATACCGATTCTTATTTTTATAAAGTGCGTAGAATTCAAAGGAAATACTACCGTACATGGTCAAGTATAAGCTGGGGCGAATATATGTAAGCATACTTTCTTTAGACCTAGGATACTTTATATTTTTTTGAAGTCTTTTGGATTAGAATTATTTTAGGATGTATGGGATGCCTAGTGACTCCAGCACACAGGCATGGTTTTGAACCTTGGACCTCAGTATTCCTAGACCATAGCTTTAACCACTAAGCCATGACACTTCAGTATGCTGCTGTGAGTTCATAATGATGTATGTTCTTTCTTACCAGATATTATAGGGTACTGTGACACAAAGGTTTGCAATTGATAGATGAATTAACCACATTTGGAATATATTCTGCATACATTACTTGTTGCTATATCTGGCAAGCTCAGGCTGTTACAAACTATGTTTAAAAACTATGCACAAGATTTAAATATGTTAGTGCACTGGCCTAGTGCACAATGACAATGGCCAATCAAGATCATTGTTGCATGTATATTATATGTATTGTCAACAAGGCCGACTATTTACCAATCAGAATCATTATCATAATTTCATATTTATGATTGATCGCAAACCTTTGTGTCATGCCCCCCCCCCCCCCAGATTGTACGGAGACTTCATTTGACTTCAGAGTATAAACATGTGTACTTTCCTTTTTATATCAGTGAATTTTGTTGTTTTTATATCTATATGGCAATGTTTAAGTGAATTATCCTCTATAGTCTGTACTTAAAAAATGCAAACATAATTTGTTTAACTCGTTAGTCGTTACTATCAAATAGCTTGCTAATCTTCTTTAGAAGTGATATCTTTAATGGCTTAAAGGTTGAAATGGAGAAAAAAAATACTGCTGTGTCACATATTTTGCACTTGAAATTGAAATCATGTTGGAAGGTGACGGTATCTTTGCAGAAATGTTACTTTTGTAAATAGTAGAATATTATTGTACATGTCTACTATAAAACTAAATATAAATATATAAAATACTTCAAGGTTTGTGGCATTATTTGTTTTGTATCTTCTATTAATTGTTTCTTTCTATCTGTGTATTTTTAAAAATACATACGGTATAGAGTATATATATATATATATATATACAGTCAAACCTGCTTTTATATAGTGACCACCTGTCTACAAAGACCACATTTTTTGTTTCCCTTGAAAATGGTTTTTCATTGAAACATGTACTAAACGAACCTGTCTACAAAGACCACCTGCCTACAAATACTACTTTTTGTGTTTCCCTTGGGCGGTCGCTATGGACAGGTTTGACTTGATGAAGAAATCCCAAAAGGGACAACGCTAATGCCTAGGTCACATATAAACCGGTCCTACCCTACCCGGAGGCTTGCCGTGGATTTAGAGACCGTATGGGAACCGTCCGATTTTCATTTCTACGGCATGTGTGGTCACATATTCTGCGGTGCCCGGGAGGTGCCTGGAGAAAATTGGTTGAGTGAAATGCGAGGCATCCGTAAGGGTGCCGGCAGGGTGCCGGCCGAGTACCGGCCGAGTGCCGGCGGTAACCTTACGGGCTCCGTCCGATGAGCAGGTGTACCGACGGCTCTTGAGGGGCCCGTGAGGGCGCCGTAGGGTACACGTACGGAACCCTTGAGCACCGCAAGGCGCCCGTAAAGATTTTTCATGAGAATTGACCCCCAAAATCGTGAGGGGCCCGTTTCGGGCACCGTCCGGAGCCCGCACGGGACCCGTAAGGTGCCCTATGGGCACTTTACAGGCTTTCTACGGCTTAATGGTCAGATAAAAACGCCGGGAGAATTGGGAGCAGCCAACTCAGCACCACGGCGCCAGTACGGCTTAAAAAACTGTCCCGGCGCCCGTAGGAACTTTACGGCAGCCGGCCGGACACCGGCCAAAAATTCCCAAAATGTCTGTTTTTACCCGCCGTACGGGCCCCGGAGTGTATATGTGAAAGCCCCATTACCCAGCAAGTTCACTTTTTATGCATTCAGATATCTAAGACCACATCCAAACAAACCACAAACATTCACATCTAAATTTTCATACCTGAACAAAAATCAGACATACAATAATTCTTGTGCCTAGTACATTCTTTTTATTTTGCACTCTATATGCAAACCCAAGATATAGAAACTGAAAACAAGTGGCCAAATTGATTTCTATTCAAATTGTAACAAAATTTAAAAAAACATAAACAAACAAAATTAGACTTTTCCTGGTACTTGTAGCAGGGGTCAGGGGACAAGTCATTAATGCTCGACAGCTCATTAGACACCCACATGTGTGACATTCACCAATAGAAGGAGTGGTTTCATTTTTCTGAAAATACATTGTACGTGTACACTTTTCAAAAGCTTATTACAGTTAAAGGTAATACAAAGTTTTGGTAATATTTCAACAGGATTAGATTATGAAATTTTAAATTTGCATTACCATTGTAAAATCTAGTGTTAGAATAAGCAACTTTGAAAAAATTGGGCTCTATGATTTTGAGAAATTAGAGTATCAAATTTATTGGTGCTCCTGATAAATTTCAAATAATGCCTACGGCCTTACAATAGTAGCTACAGTAATATCAATCTTGAGAGGGAGATATACAACATAAAGAGTTAATTCAAAATTTCATCACTTTAGACTTGATATCAACCGTGACACCGATCATTGAATATTGTAGGATCGCATGCTTCCAATTTGTTCATTCGAACCAAACTCATGACCCCATACCAAAACTTTGTATTACCTTTAACAACTCAATTATTCATACCCTTTGTAATTCGATGTTTTTGTTTTGATTTTTGTAACTCAAGAATTAAAAGTGGACTGGTTGAATTAGGGCCTTTGTTGAATACTTGTAGATGTAAGCCTTAATGTGTCACATTCTGAAGAAATATAAATCAATTTTTCAAATACTTAAAAATTACAAAACTTGGTAAGGGTATGAATAATGTTACTTAAAGATACTATGTCCCTTTTGCAGCCAACATCAAATTGTGTAGAACTTTGCAGGAAATATGACTATGTCATGTATGTCCTATCTGTGAAATTTAAACGTTAGCAGTGTCCTAATATTCAAATTATGCAAGGAAACCCTTTTCCTTGCTAGACTTCACTGTCAGACGCTATTGAGTGACTGACCGTTTTTTTCTTCTTTGGTAATAACATACATAAAATGAGCTGTAAAGAGTACATGAGCATTTTTCTACGTCAATAACCTAATTCTTGTAATGGCCAAAATTAAACTGATTGAATCTTTGCGCAGCATAAAACGTAAGACCATTCGGTACAATGGTCTGAAAATTAGACTATGACTTACTGGCTCTAAAGCTCTTAAGTCGATTTGACAACTAATAGTCGTTATTTTCTCACTTAAAAATTAAAGACATTTTCAAGCCCCTTTTTTTTTAGGGAAGCTCTAAATTAGTATTATCTTTCAAATGCCGTTGGAATTTAACCTTTTCTTTTTTTTGGCCTGCAAATGGGACATAGTACCTTTAAAAGTCAGGAGGAATTAAATCACACTGATGTGCAAAACTGAAAGTGCTTATATGAAATCTACATTGTACACTGGTATATTCATGATTTTTTTTCCCTGCTATATTTGGGCAAGTTCAAGCAATTTTTGTTGTCTCATATATACTACCAACCACATCCACAAATATAAAGACATCAGCATATTGGATGACTGTTAAATTTGCAAGCCCTGCTAGAGCTTGAAAGGAGAAAATTTATTAAGTAGCATGATAATTTTGATGTCAATTTATATACATGTATGTTCAAGATATAAAATATAACACCAAAGATTTACTGATAAGTACATCAGATGATCGTATAAAGTTTATCATTAGCTCTATTCTACAGCTTGGAGCAGAGTACTAAATAACAAGTAAAATGATACTTCAATTGTATATTTTTTTATATCATTAATACTTCAAAATGTATACTTCGTAAGAAATAGGACACCAAATACCTTCTATTTGCCCCTTGAAACAAAGAAGATTGCTAGTAATGGACAATAATTGATGCATCACTTCTTTACCACATTAAAAAATCAATATAAATTTTGTTTTTTTTGAATAAAAAATCATTTTGCAGATGAATGCTTATGTGAATTGTATTTCAATTAAAGAGGAGGATGTTTTTGTATGTGTTTTAAATTCTATTTTATTCCTTACAACATATCTCATTTCAGAATGTTTAATTCTAGATGAACATGATTACAAACATTAATATGATAGGGCTCCACACAAACTGGAACTGGGGTTCTTTACAAATCGTCTCATCAAATTATGCTTGTGAGTCCGACGTCCTAGTGGTCCTACCCATACATTGTAAAAGTAAACATGGCCTCCAGACCCCTTAAAGGTAAAGACCAGTTTTGGGGGGGAAAATGAAATGGATGCTCTTTATTTCTAATCATGTGAAAGAATATGTTTTGACCAATACATGATGATAAAAAATTTGCTGGGAAACCGCCGACTAATTGATATATTTGGTAAATTAGTTTATCTATTGGACTGTGAGAGATAAACGCATGTGTCGCGCACGTGTGCGTAGTCCCATATACATCTTCTGTGTAAGTGCTTGTAACTTTACGAAGACTGGGCCAAATTTCTTATCATTTTGATGATTCCAGAACCTTGCAGTACACACCAATACTGATATGCTAGATGATCAACCTTTTCTGATCGATTCCACAACGTTTCTTTCACAATGCAATCGCATGACCAGAACTGGTCTTTATCTTTAATATCATTTTGGATCCCAGCAATAAAAGAAAAGCGTGTGGAGAGCCCTGCCTTCCATCACAGCTTTAAAGAATCCTTGATCTTTGCATGAGAAGTAAAATGTACTTGCAGTGGAAAAATAAACTTACACGAGCATAATGAAAAAAAATACATATAAATATCTAGAAACTGAGGGATACAAGCATCATTGATCTTCTGTTTTTGATGAACTGCTACTCTCTGTCTTTGCCTCAATTTGACTAGCACTTGGAACCTCCACGATGATTTCTGTGTTTGATGTACTGCAAAGCTCTGCCACGATATTACTCGGAACTTGGTGGATACCGTCATCATATTTCTTCTGCTTCTTAGCTCGTATTGCATCTAACGTCTCCTCCACTGAACGTTTGTCTCTTTTATTTTCGCTCGGAACTATGAAGACAGAATACAATATATAGAATAGATACCGGAGGTAGAATGATCAACGATTATTTGATATGTGGTCTGTATGCACATTTACCATTTTGACATCTCATACACCCTTTCCTTATCTCACTTTGCATCTATCTAATAGTCAGCCCTATTAAGCATACATACATGCCTATCTATTGAATCTTCAAATCAAAACAGAGAAAAAGTTGACTAAGTAACACTGTAATAAATAATTAAATATATTTAATAGTCCCTTTAAATATCATGAAATTAATTAAATAACACTCGTTAATGTCATCTTCACTCATGTAAAAAAATTTAAAATAAATTTTAAAAATGCATATGGTACAATGAAAAACTTTCTATTTTCAAATCAAACCAATGAAAAAGTTGACAGCAACGAATATATTTAGTAGTTCCTTTAAATATCATGAAGTACATGACACTCGTTAATGTAATGTAAAACAAAACTAGATGGAACTTTGACTGCGCGCAGTCGAAAGTGATGCCTCCGTCATAGAGCAATTTTAGAAACCAAAATGGAAGAAATTTTTCAAATTCAAGTTCGGTTGAAATCCATTAACAGGTTCTCAGAATATCGTGATTACAAGCTATTTCTCATATACATGTATGACCCTTTGATCTTTGACCTCATGACCCCAAATGCAAGATACATACATGTCCTCATGACCCCAAAATCTAATCAATTCATTGGCTCTGCAAGTTACATACATGACCAAAGTTTGGTAGGAATCCATCAGTCGGTTCTTGAGATAACGCGATCACAAGCTATTTTTGCATACATAATGAGCCCTGTGACCTTTGACCTTGTGACCCCAAAATCTAATCAATTCATTGGCTTTGCAAGTTACATACATGACCAAAGTTTGGTAGGAATCCATCAGTCGGTTCTTGGGACGTACGTACAGACGTACGTACGGACGGACAACCCAAAAACATAATGCCTCCGGCTACTTCGTAACGGAGGCATAAAGATAACAACAAATAAAGAAGTACATGGAAATTAGAATTCCACCCTCGTAACCATCAAAGTTTCAGTGAATTTTGGTTCCTTGCTCCAGCGCATATTGCTCTGCAGTCATTTCCTTAGGGTACACACACACACAAAAGAAATAAATCTGAAATTCAAATTTGGACCCAACACTTCACCTCAACCCGGCCCTAAACAAAGCACCCAAATTGCAACCATAACCCATACCCTGTCTTTTCCACAAGATAAAGACTGTCCAGAGGAAATGTCACCTGATCATGTGACAGATCACATGACTTTAATACTCCGATCATGTGACAGATCACCTGACTTTAATACTCGGATCATGTGACAGATCACCTGACTTTAACATAGATGGATAGGAAGAATCAATGGAAGACTTAATACCGAAGCCAAACTGCTTGTTTGGTGTGAGATGACGGGCTGCATCTTTGGCACTCTCCTCCCCGATCAAGTCTTTGTACTTAGCCTTGTAATCTGAAGTGGGTACCACCTTGACCGGTTCTCTTGCCTCTTCCACCTGCCGCGCCTTCTCCGCCTCCTCCGCCTGCACGGATTTCACACAACAGGGAAATGAAATAATGCTGTAATATATTCATTCATTAAAGGGAAGTCCACCCTGAAATTAAGTTAGTTTTAATAGGAGTAGAAAAATGAGAGAAACAAGTCAGTGAAAGTTTGAGCAAATTCCGATTAAAAATAAGGAAGTTAGGAATTTTGAAGTTGTAATCAATCAAACACAAATTGGCAACTCTATGACGTGGTATCATGCGAGCTCAACTTCCATTTGCTCAGTACTAAAAAAGTCTAAAATTTTCATTTTCCCTCAAGAAAAATTTCAACCATACATGCACCCTAAATATAATAATTGCAAATATGTTACTATACCGCCCCTGCAAGGAACAAATATATATTCCGTCATCAATAACAAAGAAAACATGATTTTATGGAATATTATGCACAAAGCAAATGAAGGAGAGCTCGTATAATAAGTCACAGAGTTGCCAATTTGTATTTGATTGATCACAACTTCAATAATTCATAACTTTCTTATTTTCATTCAGAATTTGCTCAAACTTTCACTCACCTGATTTTCTTATTATTCTGCCTCTATCGAAACAAACTTATTTTGGGGGTGGACTTTCCCTTTAAAGGTGGTACATAATTTTGATTTACCTCATATTCGAAGCCCAGAATTTGAATCATAACTCACATTTGTAATTGTTGTTTTCTTTTTGATAAAGTCTTTATTTCAACATTCTAAAGTGACTGAGATGAACCTACAATCTACATCAACATATTTAGTTCATACTGCCAGTAATATATCAATGACATCATTCTATTTCTCTCTCCACAGTTTGTAAAAATATGGGAAAGAAAATGAGTAAACAATACATTTGTGTAACTGATTATATAAATCAATTACAATAAACTTATTGAATTCTCATTGTAAAAGGCCACACAAAATAAGAAAATAGAAGAAATAACTACATGAACATGTTTAGTCGTTACTGAGTAAAATATTGATGACATTATTCTATTTCTCTCTCCACGGTTTGTACAAACATGGGAAAAGAAAGAAAATGAAAAAGCAATACATTTGTGTAACTGATTATAAAAATCAATGACAATAAATTTACTGAACTCTCATTGTAACACGCCACACAAAACAAGAAAACAGAAGAAAAGAAATGAAGGATTCTATCGGAGCGTACCACTTTCTTTGCCAGGAACCTAGCCTCCTCTGGATCCCACTTCTCTCCTCTCTTGTAGGCATTGAGTTCCTCCTCGGTAGGGGGGATTTCCTGTATTAAGAAAACATTCAATAAAAGAAATTATGCACATCGAGGGTTCAGTGACACAAAGACGTAACTCACTTTTTGAACATAGCTCCTCGGATATACACTTGTTGTTGTCAGTGTAACCCATTGTACCTGGGCCCCGTTGCACAAAACTTACCATTGATGGTAACTTTGCCATCAATGGTAACTACAGTGGAAATCTTGATTTTTATTGGCTGTTGAGTCCTGTTAACATGGTAGTTGCCATTGATGGCAAAGTTACTATCAATGGAAAGTTTTATGTGACGGGCCCTGTAATGCATATTTGGATAATTTCATACATGTATTTTTAATGGACGACACGCGATGCATGATTAGTTTGTTTTAAAGTTTTGTCCCTGTTCTTAAAAGTCAGCAGCTTCTGATTGCTGAAATATACCTCAAAATAAAGGAGAAATGGGAATTCCATATGGATAACACTGTATTGAAATGTGACCAGCCAAACAAGCTTACATTATATTTGTTTTGATCCTCTTATGGCTTTCAAAACTTGAAGACCCAGGTTTTTATTCTTGTTTTGGTCTTAGACACTATACGACTGACTACGATCTGATCTGGGAAGAATTTGCAGTAACATTTGTTATGAACATACATGTACAAGGTCTCAAATCTTAATATAATTGAGGATCTCAAGTCATATGATTAATGAAATCTAAACTTAAAGGGAATTTATGCTTCTGTAAGGTTTTAATTTCACTGACCCAAGTGGTTACTTGTTTATTTTACACTGTACATTTAGTTTTCCACTCCGATATGCTTTAGCGCACTCCTGACCTACATTCATTCTCTCCTGTCTGCTAGCTCTTGGCTTCTATTGTTCTGTCCCTATTCATTCATCCTCATGCACATTACCTGCTATAGCACCACACACACACACACACTCTTCCTTATCTCTTAGCTATTCAACCCAGCACACATGGCACATGGCACTCTATCTTTTACAAGCTTTTCTATTGGTTACTTACTTATTGTCCAATCTTGTGATTGGTTATTATTGTTTGATGGACTGCATGTCAGCCATCTTGGCAGCCATTTTGTGGTTGGAATAAAATCTAATAGTGCAGCTCAAGTCCTCAACCATGTGAGACCACTTTTGTTTTGTGTGGGACTTTACAACTGGTGGCAGCAGTGGTTTTTCTGCACTGAACTGTAATTGCAGCCTTCCTTCATATGTAGAAATTCCTGCAGTGTTTTTAGTGGTGAGTTGCAAAGTGAAATTCTCCCTCCATCTGTATATGAATGTGAATGTTTGAGAGCATGATATCACCCTTCTTCTGCACTGATTGACCTCCCTTCATTTTAAGCTGAGGCAGTTAGTGTTTGTGTGTATTCAACCTCCTTCATTAATTACTGAAGTTTCATCTTGACTTTTTGAGCCTTGATTTCTTCCTACATCAGTAGTTTTGTGAATTCCTTCATTCATCCTTCATCAGTAAGTGAGATTTCCTTTACCCTTCTTCATACTGGAACTGTATTTTGGTGAATATTCCTGCATTCATCCTTCATCGGTGACTGAGGTTTTTTTCTTCACGTACCCTTCATACAGTTCTGTATTTTTCAAGCAACTTATCACATCCAGTTTGCATGTATAGTCTGCCTTTGGCTGCCGTACATTACAACATTCTGCCATATCAACCTGCATATTCTACATAGTGTTGGCGTAGCAACGTAACCAGTTGCAGAATACACCCTCCTTCCATCATAGCCGCTCGCCACAGGTATTTCAACTGTTGAGTTTGCATTTTCTTCATCTGCACTCAGAGTGACCCCCCATCCCCCCCCCCCCTCCTTCACATTGACTCATTCAGTAAGTTTTACTGGGTTGATATCTTGTTGATGATCATATCTGTTGAGTCGATTGCTTCTAATTCCTACAGTATGGCATCTTATCGCATGGAATTGCCAGAAGTGTTTACGGGAGAGAACGGCAAGGACTTCCGTCAATGGATACGTCGATTTGAAGTTGCTGCACAGGCGTTTTCGGACACTTCTATCAACTTAACCACCCTCCTTCCGGCAAGACTAGCAGGATCAGCCTTCATCGTGTGGGAGAGCTTGTCTGCTTCGGACAAGAAGGATTTCAAGAAGATGAAAGAGAAACTCTCTCAGGTTTTCGGCCGGACACAGTTTATTGACACATTCAAGTCTTGTATTACTGCCCGAACTCGCCAACCAGGTGAGCCTTTAGAAGTGTTTGCATCAGCCATTGCTTCCTTAGTAGAAGAGGCTTTCCCGTCCTATGATGACGATGCAAAAGGTGGTGAGAGATTTCGCCGATTTGTTGCCGGGGTAGACAAACCGCTTCAAGTTAAGATTCACGAGCTCGGAGGCTTTGATTTTGACGAGGCCTTGAAGATCGCACTTCGTGTAGAAAGAGCACACCAAGCACACAATTTTGGTATAGTAGCAGCTGTAGATGATCGGGTCCAGGACAAGACGCCTGCAGAAGCATCGGTCTTACGACTACTACTGCCAAGACTCAACGAGTTAGAAAAGAAGCTGGATAGGATGTCCTTAAAGTTAGAGACAGTTGAAAGGCCTAGCAGATCTCAGCAACGTGGTGGAAGCCCTTCAGGACGTGCCCATGAGGGAAGACACATGGAACGTCGTGGGTCTCCGTCACCAAGCCGTGACTACCGAAGACACAGGTCGCCAGAATATACAAGACAGAGATCTCCGGAATATGCAAGACACCGATCTCCAGGATATTCAAGACACAGATCTCCAGAATATGCAGGACGCAGATCTCCTGAATATGCAAGACGCATATCTCCAAGCCCTAATCAGAGCTACGCATGTCAATCTAGGACTTCACCCTCTAGACGGCCCTATGAATCGTCTAGCAGCCGAAATCAGCAGCATCCTTCCACTGCAGGTTATCAAGTTGACTCCCATAGACAGGCTCCCTATCGTCAAGTTCGTTTTGAAGACCAGCAGCAGGGAAACTTCTGGTAGTTGAGGAAGAGGGCCATTCATCAACTACACAAACCAAGGTCCCAATTCGAATAGCACCTATTTCGCCAAAGAAATCACCCTACATCCCTATCGTTATCGACAATGTCTATGTATTGGCACTCGTAGATAGTGGATCATTCATCTCTCTGTTGAGTGCCAAATTTTTGTCATCCATTCCAGCATCGCAAAGGAGCCCGTTGGAAAAGTTGACATCCATGGCATCTACTATCACAGGTGGGCTGGTAGACAACATTGGAACAATCGTACCATCTCTGCACTTAGGGAACAAGGCTACACAACACAAGTTCGTTGTTGCACGCAACATCACTCATTCAGTTGTCCTTGGATGGGACTTTATTGACAGCCAGAATGCCTGCATATCGTCAACATCGTTCAACATGCCTGGAAATGTTATTCCCTTCATCGATCGTCAGCAATACCAAGCCCCGCTGAAATGTAAAGTTTCTCTTGTTGGACAAGCTCGGATTCCCCCAAGCTGCGAAACTCACGTCCAGGGAAGATTGTCGTCGCCACAGTTCGACATCATACCAAGAGAGTACGATGGCTACTTTGAACCAACATTGCAAGATCACATTCCTGTTATCGGTGCCAGATCTCTGTTCAAGCCTCAAGATGGTCTTATTCTAGTACGCCTCATTAATCCCTCTGACGAAGCAGTCGATCTACCTGCAGACACCTGCCTTGGTCAATTCTTCTCCATTACTGGGGATACCGAAGAGGAATACAAGATCATGAGCGTAACTACTGACGCTGATCCACAAGTGACAGACAAGTCACCAGTTGCTGGTGTTCTCCCTTCTTCCGAACTCACGAGAACAGAGTACGAGAAAGCTGAACATCTTCTTCAGACCTACAGTGATATTTTCAGCACGACGTCTCAGGATATTGGTCAGACTGACATTATTCATCACCACATTGACACCACCACAGCTACTCCAATACGACAGAGGGCGTATCGAACTTCACCAGCAATGAGAGTGGAAATTCAGGAGCAAGTGGACGAACTTCTGCAAAGAGGCATCATTGAAGAGAGCTTCAGCCCATGGGCGAGCCCAATCGTCATGGTGAAGAAGAAGGACAACACATACCGATTTTGCGTGGATTACAGAAAACTCAATGCAGTAACTGTTAGAGATTCTCACCCTATTCCACGGCAAGATGATTCAATTGACTCCCTTTCTTCATCAGCATATTTCAGCGTCATGGACTTATCAAGTGGATATTGGCAGGTCAAGCTTGATCCCCAAGATACAGAGAAGACTGCTTTTACCACAGGCACAGGGCTTTACCAGTTTACTGTCATGCCATTCGGACTGGTCAACGCTCCCATGACATTTCAGCGTCTCATGGAAGCCGTTCTACATGGCCTCCACTGGTCTACATGCCTTGTATACCTTGATGACTGCATAGTCATGGGCAAGGACTTCGATGATCATTGCAAGAACCTCCAAGAAGTATTGCAACGATTCAGAGATGCTGGACTCAAACTTAAACCCTCAAAGTGTGGCTTTTTCAAGAAAGAAGTTACGTATCTTGGCCACATAATCAACACCGAAGGAGTGAAACCTGACCCAAACAACGTTGAGAAAGTCAAGTCCTGGCCTCAGCCGAGGACACCTACAGATGTCCGATCCTTCCTTGGCCTGGCATCTTTCTACCGACGTTTTGTGCCAAGTTTCTCTAAGATTGCAACTCCCTTGTCGACCCTTACACAAAAAGGTCAACAGTTTGTATGGACAGCAGAGTGTGAAAAGGCTTTTCAACATCTGAAAGAAGCTCTAACCAATCCACCTCTCCTCGCCTATCCAGACTTTGAAAAGGAGTTCATCCTATCTTCGGATGCATCCCTTCATGCAGTTGGTGCTGTCCTCTCACAGACTCAAGATGGTAAAGAACGTGTAATCTCCTACTTCAGCCAAACTCTCAGCGCTACGCAGAAGAAATGGTCTACCTATGATCGAGAGCTCTGGGCAATTGTTACAGCTGTTCGCCATTTTCGTCATTATCTGAGACACCAACACTTCACTATCCTGACAGACCACAAACCTCTTTTGGGTCTCACGAAGTTCCCAATTCAAGACGATGCAACTGGGAAGAGAACACGATGGATATTGGAACTCAATTCCTACACGTTCAGCCTTATTCACAAGAAAGGACAATCACACAGAAATGCAGATGCATTATCTAGACGCCCGAGTCAAGAAAGCCAAGTCACTCCAAGATTGACAGATCAGCTACTCAAGCACATGGTGACCAATTCACTGTGTAATGCAGTCGAGACTCGTTCATCAACAAACACATCTACTCCCAATGATGCAACGAGGCAGTCTGCACCAAACGTCCTTCATCCTTATCGTGGTGTAATCCTTGACAGTGATGTAGATGTTCAACATGAACAGCAACTAGATCAAGACATCAGTACAGTCATCGATTGCATCAACAATGGTGAGCGGCCAACCATTCGACAGATCCGTAGACACAACCCCCGGGTTAGACGTCTCTTGTGGCAGTATCCCAAATTCATCCTCCAAGACGGTATACTCTACAGGAAGAAGAAAGACAAGCTTGGTAATCTCTCATTCCAACTTGTCGTACCAAACTCCCTCATTCCAAGGGTACTTCAAGAGTTACACGGTGACCCATCATCCGGACATTTCGGCGCTCATCGCACAATACAGAGAGCAGAGTCAATGTGCTATTGGCCCTTCATGAACAAGGAAATCACTGATTTCTGCAACACATGCACAGCTTGTGAGTCCTTCCGGTTACCAACCCCTAAGCATCAAGCACCCTTACGTCCCATTACCACTACTCGCCCTTTGGAGATGGTCTTTGCCGACATTGCTGAGCTTCCAAGTTCAAGACGAGGATTTCGCTATATACTCGTTGTGACTGATCATTTCAGCAAATATGTCAATATCTTCCCAATGAAAGATCAGACTGCTCCAACCATCGCCAAACATCTGTTTGAAGAATATGTGAAAGAACATGGTATTCCAGAGACTTTGCACACCGACCAAGGTCGACAGTTCGAGTCCAGATTAGTGCAAGAACTATGCAGCAAATTGGGCATCAAAAAGTCTAGATCGACACCCTATCATCCCCAAGGAGCTGGCATAGTCGAACGTTGTAATCGCACCATCAAAGATCAACTTGCGAAGTACATTTCTCATCAAGGAGGAGAATGGGACACTCACATCAATCAAGTCCAGTTGGCGTACAACACAAGTACTCATGCCTCAACAGGTTTGACGCCCTACTACATCATGCATGGCAGGGAAGCCCGTACACCTGCGAACATCACCTGTTCAACTCCCCCTCCATCGTCATCTGGCAAGACACTCCTCGAATACACAACCAACCTGTCTGAGCGATTGAGAAAAGCATGGGAGTACACCATACAGAATACACGACAGCAACAGCAACAACAGAAACGACAGTATGATGTGAAGAAACGCATTTCCAAGTACGACACAGGTGACTTTGTTTGGTTACATGACCCAACCAACATCAGGAACAAACTCGAACCAAACTGGAAAGGTCCTTTCAGAGTATCTTCCTCATCAGATGATGGACTAAATTATGACATAGTTCATGTCCATGATGAAAAGTTCAAGCGACGGGTCCATCATAATCGTTTGAAACCGCATCGAGCTAGAGCCCCACAAGTGATGTCAACTCCACCATCCCCACCAACCCCACAGCCTACGTCAATACATGGGACTGAGAGGACAACGACACAGTACCCACCAGGTCCCCCAGCAGAAGACGAGACTGGGAGAAAGGTGCAATCAAATCAACCTACTAGCCATGGACCAGCCTATATCACATGGTCATCTCGACCACCAGATCGCATCCTCCATCACGAGCAGTCGAACCATGACCGACCATCACGGTCAAGTTTGTCTGTTCGGCAACAAGCCTCAAACCAGCCAACCAGTTCAACAGAACGCATCCTCCATCACCGACAGTCAGACCATGACCAACCATCACGGTCAAGTTTGTCTGTTCGGCAACAAGCATCAAACCAGCCAACCAATTCTAGCCACTAATCCAGGCTAATTGACTCAGCCCCACTTCAGCAACAACCTAGGCCATCCCTGCCGACTACCCAAACCCAACATCAGCTGTCCTCGCCGGTTGGCCAACTTCAACTCAGACCCCAATATCAACTGAGGTCAACGACTCACCAATCCCAACTTTGGCCATCCTCATCAGCTGAGCAACCTAAGCCGTCCTCATCCGCTGACCAACCTCAACCTCAGCCATCCTCATCAGCTGACCAATGCCAACATCAGCCGTCCTCATCCGCTGACCAACCCCAACATCAGCCGTCCTCATCTGCTGACCAACCCCAACATCAGCCGTCCTCATCTGCTGACCAACCCCAACATCAGCCGTCCTCATCCGCTGACCAACCCCAACATCAGCCATCCTCATCCGCTGACCAACCCCAACCTCAGCCGTCCTCTTCCGCACGTTCGAGATCTGGTCGACAGGTTAAAGTACCCGCCAAGTTTCAAGATTACGAACTGTAAAGACGTTTGAGAAATAATGTTTGCAATAGTGATAGATAATTGGAAGACCTGCTGATTTTCACTTTTCTCCGTCATACCTTGCATTGCTACATTGTTCGTGACAATATGTTATTGAGGGAATTGTTGATTTGAGAACGTTTTGGAAGGTTTATTATATTTTTTGTAGGAATTGTCCGTAAAGATAGGATTAAATTGTCAGTTTTTAATGTTTAGACGGGAAAAAGAAGATGACAAGCTTTCAAACATTTTGTCATGTGTTTTTCCATCAAATTAGTTAGTTACGCATCAATTAGGTGAACTCCTTAATGCGCCCATCTTTTATTTTCAAAAAAAGAAGAAAGAAGACTAAAATGTCAATTTTTGATTGCAATTTTGCAATTGTGCTGAATTTTAAGATACAAAAAAAAAAAATTAAAAAATGTGAGATTCAGATTGTATTGGTCACAGGGTTGACCTGCATTATTTTACAAAAAGGACTATATAAATGTGTCAACAACAAAAATTGTTGGGATTATTTGATTTTAAGTACATGTTTACATTGTTTTCTGAACATCATTTTTAGTCATTTGACTTATATTGATGTTTTAGATATTTGGATTTAAAACAGATTCTTGATACATGAATTCATAAGATGTGTTTTTTTCTCATTACATAAATCATGTGTAGTCGAGATTATATCGACCATAGACACAGTATTTGTATAATGCCTCCTTAAATCTGAGACAGTTTTGAAAGAGTTATGTCAGAATGCATGCATATTCTCTGTGTACATTGTATTTCATTATTCATTATTCAAAAAAAAAAAAATTAACAGTGATTCACGAAACAGTGATATATTTTTTTTTAGGTGAAGACATTGCCTGTTCATGTATTTTTTTTTTTTGAAAATTGCCAAATTGGATATGAAATATTTGATATTTTGTCATTACTGACAGGGAAAAAAAAAAAGAAGGGAAATTATTTAATGTGTATGTCTACAAGTCATCCGACTGGAATTTTCAGGGTGGAAAAGGATAGAACCCATTGAAGTTGGGAAGTTGTTTGGAAGATGTTCATTGATGAAAGCATACCATTTTCTTGTATTTGCTCTATACATGTATGTGACCTTTCATTTTAAACAGTTTAATTTTCCCTAATATGAATGGATGCTATTTCTTTAAAAAAAAAAAAGAAGGAGAGGGAATTGCACAGAAGAAAAACTTCATGATTTGATTTGTTCAGGTATTTCGAGCAAATTTTATGTGACTCATTTTCTTCGGAAACAAATGCATGTTAATACGATGTATCTTTTAAAATGAGGACATTTTTTCTGTGAAGATGGTATATTATGTAAGGTTTTAATTTCACTGACCCAAGTGGTTACTTGTTTATTTTACACTGTACATTTAGTTTTCCACTCCGATATGCTTTAGCGCACTCCTGACCTACATTCATTCTCTCCTGTCTGCTAGCTCTTGGCTTCTATTGTTCTGTCCCTATTCATTCATCCTCATGCACATTACCTGCTATAGCACCACACACACACACACTCTTCCTTATCTCTTAGCTATTCAACCCAGCACACATGGCACATGGCACTCTATCTTTTACAAGCTTTTCTATTGGTTACTTACTTATTGTCCAATCTTGTGATTGGTTATTATTGTTTGATGGACTGCATGTCAGCCATCTTGGCAGCCATTTTGTGGTTGGAATAAAATCTAATAGTGCAGCTCAAGTCCTCAACCATGTGAGACCACTTTTGTTTTGTGTGGGACTTTACACTTCTTTAGAGAAAGAAAAACTAAATCTGCTGAGAAGCGTAATGACATCAGACCACTAGTGCATTTGACTATGACTGGAAACCAATTTGACTTGTATTCTGACTAGAATAATTAAAAATTCTGGTTGTGAGGAATATCGATTGTTTAGAACCAAACTTAGTTTAATAGATGATGTATGTTTAGATTTCCATATTTAATACAATTGCCATTTCTTCCAAAAATCGGATCGCAGGGGGATCCTGTAGAGCACGATGGGCTTAAGAGTTAAAACCACCAAAATACACTTTCACTGATAAATCCATGACAATAACCAACACTGCAATATCTCTCACATCACCATACAAGCCATTACTTATAAGCAGCGTCCACATGTATCTCTCATATCTCTCATTAATTCTTGAAGCAGCAAAAACTATTGCCCCATACCTTTTTGAACAACATGATATAGCGGTCTACTTCTGCCTCTCCGAAAGAGAATGAAGTCATTCCAGCTACCTCTGCAACGTCATGTCTGTAAAACAGAATATTTCAAAGTGAAATGACTCATCAAAATTGGTGGCAGGATTCTGAAGTATTGATTAATTTCAAAGAGTACAGACATCTATGTAATTTTCCAAAAAGATTTTTTCACAGACAGTGCAAATAAAAAGTTTGCCCAAAATATTAATTCAATTGTACATATTCTGAAGTTATACACATTAAATAATGAGGCCATACACGGATTCACACTTTACATTTCTTACAACCAAATTAATTCTGAAAATCAATACATATTAAAATCTTTTAAGATTATACTTGTGATAGGGCAACAAAATTAAATAAAATTTCAAAGATAATACACATGTATGAAATATGTCTTTTTGCAGGGTAGGAAAGACAACTTTAATTGGGGATTTGGAGGTCTACATTAATGCTTAATCTGGATTTGATGACACAACTCATTATCAAATTAAACAAAAGTTGTATCTTTGGAGATTCTTTTCTCATTTAGCTTTCTAAAAACATCTTAGAGGTACATTGCCTACAACCCTATTTTTGTGTGTTCAGTTCACCGACTTGCTGTATGATGGATGGAAAAACATTAGAAAGACTTACATTATGCTGCGATAAACCTTGTCAATCGGTGGATACTTCAGTCTGGTTCGTGCGCTGTCATTCAGAAATGCATCAACTTCTTTCTCGACTTTTGCTCTGAATTCGTTCTTCCGCTTCCTGTCCTCCAGCTTCATCTTCTCAATCTGGTTCTTCCTCTCTTCATTTAAAGAAGGTCAAGAAACGAATAGGGGTCAGGAAAAGAATGAGGATCAAGATAAGACGAGGGGTAAAACACAGAATCAATCCAAACAAAGCTCAAATAATACACACAAAATTGCATGGCCATTCTACATCAACAGCAAAATGTGCAAGGTAAGCAAAGCCGGGAAAGCCATTTTGTATGCATCGAGCTACAAGTTCGTAATGACGTTATCACAGTTTTTCTTCATAATCATTTTGCCTTCTAGAAGGGATGATATTTAGACGACATCATGCGCAGCGAGAGTTTAAAATACGGTTTGCAAGATTTTCAACATGGATGTCGATTTCGACCCATAATTTCCTGAAAATGGACCATTAAACGGATTTATTCAGTCAAGAAGGTAAGTGGATCCGACGTACAATAGCCTAGATCTAGGCCTAATTTACAATATAGAATAAATTGGATATGCATGAGGTAAAATGAAATTTTGGGGAATTTGGGGGGCATAAAAATATGGCCGTAAATGGCCATGGTGTTTGAAGGAGAAATGCCTATGGTCCGCTTCTGGCTCTAAAGAGATGAGCCGACCCTACCCAAATAAGAGGCTTAACGAACAAAAGAGACAGAAAATTTGGGCTATAGTTGGCTGTAATGTTAGTTTAGCTGAAACTAAAGTTTACCGCGCGCGCGGCCGCGGAGCAAGGGACTCGTTGCCTCTCCACAGGCCACAGCAAGCCACAGCCACGGGGTCAGAGTTGATGCAATTACCGGTACCGGTAGCTTGGCCGCAGCTCTGCACTTCTTCTAAGTTAGTTCTAGATCTAGATCTACGTCGTGGACGATCAAATGCAAATTGCAAAATAACTAATCATCAGGTAAAATTGTATCTCCTTGACTCTCACCTTGTGCTAACTTCTTTTCTTTCTCTCCTACTGAAGGAGGTTTCTCCATGGAACTCAAAATACTGCCCAGTAAATCCATTATTTAGCGGTGTGTTTATCGATAACAAACTCAATTGGGCCTGGGAATTTACTGAAGGTAGCAGACATTTTTCATAGCTAGTTAGCATCGGGTTACGTTTTGCCGATTTATAGCGATCACAAATAAAGCAACAAAAACGGAAACTTTGAATCCGTCTAGATATCGATCCAAAGGGGCAATTTTGCGGGATGTTCTTATCAGCTGGAAAATTAGATCTAGGGTATATATATGTTTTGTTTTGGTTTTCTTGATAAAGAACCGGGACATAATGTTCGCCATCGATCATGCAGGCGCGCGGATCTAGAATTTCTTAGGGATGGGGGCCCATTTTTTTTTTTTTGCTCCCCAAAATTTGAAAATCACGCCGTCCGAAAATGCGCTCGGGGGAGGGGGGAGGGGGGGGGGGGGGGTTAGAGAGCACTATTTTTTCCCTTTTTTTTCGCTCCCGAAAATTTGAAAATTTGCACCCCCCCCCCCCCTTGAGCGCCAGGGGGAGGGGGGCATCTCCCCCCCAAAAGGTAAAGTTAACGTGTTTTTACACTTTTTTCCCTGGATCTGCCACTGCCATCATGTACTTAAAATCATGTAGGCCTACTTTTGTAAATGTGTATTCGATAAGCCCGAATAATAATAGAAAACATTTTTCTTCCTGCATATAAAGTTTTGGCAAAAAACGGGTCTGCTTAGTCATAATTTTATTTTGTTGAAAATGATATTAAAAAAGCACGAAAATATGGGGCCATTTTCACCTCCACCAACGACTACAATAAAGTGAAGCTTAAGGTAGTGGGCGGATGCACTGAGATTGAAAGAAAAAAAAATTCAATAGATTATCTAAAAAGATCCGTGTAGGCCTAATGATGAAGGATTATAGGGCCCATAACCAGGCGCAGATCTAGGATTTCTTAGGGGGGGGGGGGTAAATTTTAAATCATGCGAGCCAAATATTGGTACGTAATGGTAAAGCAGTAGCGTAATGCGCAAAAGCGTTTGGAGGGGGGGGGGGAGGAAAAAAATCCGTATCACCACCACTCTTAAATGCACGCCCCGCTGAACGTTTTTCAAAGTGGGCGGGGGGATTGAGGTTAAAGTATTTACAATCAGGTAGAGCCCGGGGGGGCCAAGGGGCGGAGCCCCCGGAAGCTCAGGGTTTTATGCATTACATTACGGTCAGATGAGCTTCCAGGGGCCCGCCTTATAAGCCCTAGGTGGAATCCAGGGGACAGAGCCCCGGAAGCTCAGGGATTTTAGGCATTTAATCACGGTCAGATGAGAATATTTTGATGCTTCATTATTTTGTAACACTGGCAGGTCACTATTCTTTCTTTCTTTCTCTCTTTCTGTCTATTTCTCTTTTATAAACTTTTTCTAGGGGGAGCTCGAGCCCCCCTAGAATCACATAATAAACAAGAATTGGTTTGTATATGCAGAATTTCAAAATAATATTCTTGGCCATTTAAAATATGATAAGAAAATACATTTATAGATATCATTTACAAATTGAAGTTTACTATTTTATTTAGTTGGCAAAATGATTTTAGAAGAAATAAAAAAAAAATCAGAAACACTTTGAAAAAAGTAACCACTTTTCCTTAAATTTATTTTCTTTCAGATTTGTTTTAAATATATACTTTTCCATGCTATAAAAGCACTTTATCGCTGATATTATGTGTTCAAAAACTGACAAACACTATTTGCATAATTTCTTTCCTTACTATAATCATAATACAGTTGAGGGCACTGTTATTATCACCGTAAAACCCAAACAATTTATTTTGATTTCTAAACTTTATAAGTACTATGCCATTATTACGGGACAGCCGATACTCAAGTTTTGACCATATATACGATAAATAGCCGATTCAGCTTTAACTTACCAGAGAAAGTAGGTAGTATTGGAAATTCGTTTTATTACAATGGCATAAAACATAGGAATTCCCTTCCCAATGCAAATTATAACCTCCTTTACTGCAGGTGGACACATTTACTACCATTGCCTCGGTGATCTCTGGGGTGACTTTATCTTCCCTCGCCTTCAGCTCTGGTAGATACATGTAGTTGCCTCGAGATCACCTCAGCGTTCAAAGTTTGTCCAATCGCCGGAGTACAATGTAGTCGGTTATTTTGCTTACTATTATAATTCTTCTTTTGTAAGCACTTCATTGTTTTCTGATTATGTTTGTGTTTCATCTTCTTTTTATGATCGTGTTATACTCTATATAATTATGTATATTGTAAAAGTGTAAAGCGCATTGATATGTCAACAGACATGAAATGCGCCATAAAAGAACAAATTATTATTATTATTATTATTATTATTACTATGTTTCTGTTTCTAATAACTGCGAGCGAGAGAGCGTTATATATTTGTTTAAGTCTTTATAATTGAACAATTTATATTTTCGTCATCAAGATAATTGTAGATACGATTTCAAATTACAGATAGCCGAAATATTTGTGAGTTCAAATTTTGAGAAGGGTTACAGCCCCTAGCCCCCTGGCTTATACGCCCATGTTTCCGAGTCTAGGGGCCAGTTTTTCGAAATCGTCATAATTCTAAGTTCGTGGACTTCCCGTGGAAATATTTTAAAACACGCGTTTCAATGGGATATCAAATAAGTTAAACTTATGACGGTTTTCGAAATCCGGCCCCTCGATTTTTTTTCTTGTTAAGCTTTCCCGAGAAATCTTTTTCTTTAATAATGATAATAAGAATAAAGAATATTTATTAAGCGCATAATAAATTGAAAGGCGCTTTACAATCATGACAACTTTGAATATTATATACACCATAATAAATAAAAAAGTAATTAAGCAAATAACAAAAATATTTATGGGAAAGTAAACCATTATTCACCTATTATTATACCTGATAAGTAAAACTGTTTGGCATGACATATTACAAATTCAACAAACAGACACTCATATTGTCGAACAAACCTCCTAACCAGCAATATATAGGAAACCTTCGAAAACAAATAAGATTTCAGGGCTGTCCCAAAGCTGTCAGTGGGTGTCAGTGCTCCCAACAACTCGAAGCTGGTCAGGAAGTTGTATGGTTCCACAAGACAGGCGCTGTCGTTGAAAAAGCACGAGAAACATACGTTTGGGACAGTTAGGAAATTATTTGTTGAGGAGCGGAGATTTTCACCGGGTATGTAAGAAGAAATAAGATCAAGAAGATAAGTCAGGGATTTGTGACTCATTAGGGACTTTTAGATTTGCGTGGACTGAAACGTGTAACGTCCATTCAAGGTAGTGCATTAAAAGGACGTCGATCGTAGCAATCCCCATAATTGTCTTCGTGCGAATCTCAAAAGTCCCTATTATCTTGTGACATGCACAACATAATAACTTTGTAAACAGAGTAAACCAAGATTGGCTGTCATCAATAGGTGTTATGAGACATTATTAGATGCTTTGATGTTGCTTACCAGATACTTTTTCCGATAATATTATTTGCTGATGACGAGCGAACTTAAAGTCAAATGTCATATTCTTGATACTAAAATGGAATGTTGCATGTCATTGTATGTCAGTCATGATTCAAGGGCGACGCTTTGAAAGGGGTATGTTTTAGAGCAATTTTGAGATTGCTCATGAATGCAGGCTGGTAATGTATGGCTCTTAAGTTGATGATTATTCCAAAGAAATGGACCTGCACGAGAGAAGACTCTATTGATGTATATTGATGCTGATGATGCTTAACTTAGTAAATCTCACATTTTCCAACATAAAAGTCTTTCGTCCCTCGGCTTGCCTTTTGATTAGCTTCTAAACCTCTCTCACAATCCTCACTCTCTTTGTGTTTGTGTTCGTGTGTGTATTTCAATACCTTTATCCGTATAAAACACGATCCATAACATTGTTGTAGAATAATGTTCCTTCTTTATTTTCATGATTGTGGGAATATGATTTATTCTTGACTTAGATGCAGTTTACTTTCATAAACCTCCCTCAAACTTTTAAAAGTAAACCAAGGTAACTGCTTTTATAAAAAGCATCCAACATAATCTTTCCAATGAGCTTTTAAAAAGATATCGAAATTCGATCATGATACTTTTGTAGGTTAATCCTGCGTTTCTTCTGCCTCCATTTTTATCTCTCTCTTGTCAAAAATTGCATATAACTTCTATATTTTGTGTAATTTGTATTTTTTCATTTTAAATAATTTGTTATTGTGAGTGAGTGTTGTTATTTTGGAATGGCGTCTCTACTTTTGCAGACTGACTTGCGGAAAAACAGCCTAACGATCGAAGGCAGGTTTATTGTAATACCGTATTGAAATAAATAAATAATTACAAAAAACAGACATCTCCCGGGAACTGTGATAAGTCATACGGATAGATCAATCAAGTTCTGATAAGATGTAAAGTTTAATTATCAAGAATAAAACATATTGTCACAGTGTTTTCATGAAAAGAGGTTAGGAAAAACATATTGCGATGTTAGGGGCCACAGTGTATTCTACTTCTGGATGATTAGGTCACTCAATGATTTCAGTTTCTTTCTAATGGCCTTTGATATGTGTTTTAACACATCAAGTCATAATAACGCATCACGCATCACGCATAATTATGATGTATTTGGATTATCACCTATATTATAATGGCAATTGAAAGCAAGAGCTAGGCGGTCACCCCTCCTTAACATTTTGTCCAACTAACACATGCAGGTTTGGGGCTCCCCCTTGCTCGTTCAGTATCGCAGCACTATTTTGCACAATTTGCCATTTGCCATTTTCTTATATCTTTCTCGGTTAAACTAAACATTACAGCAATTGATCCTAGAGGAAACGAATGCATGAATTAATTTCTCAATGTTTTTCTTATCTACATAGGATATTTCTTATTTGTCCAATTTTTCTAATTGCACACATCGCTGAACGGCCTGTTATCTGAGATGATCTTACAGTTGCAGTTGATGATCCATTACACACCCAGGTTTCTCGCTCCTGCTTTTTCAAGCAAGCGTTAATTATCAAAAGCCAAGTCCCAAACGGTGACAGAAAATGTCATGACCAGCGCGGTGATCAGCGTCTACCGTTGATACTTATCAATATTTTAATCTCTTT